TGCAGCTAACAGTTAATATAGAGAAGATTCCTATTTCTGCTTTAATGCTAAATTTAGAAGCCATGCAAAAGAATAACTTCCATGATTGTTTTTCATTTCACAAAGACCTTCATTCCTCAAGGCCTATAATATATCTGGGTCTTGGGTTTCTCCTTCTTGCTTCAGTACCTACTTATCCAACTATCTGAAAATGTATTGTTGGACACTCTTCACACAGTCATTGAGTGGTAAAATGAGTAACTGGAGGATTCCTAACTTGTTTCATGCTTTTATAACCCTACTATAATGAGAGCAAATAATAATAATAGCTCATATTTAGTCAGTGCTGGTTCTGTTCTAAGCACTCATAACAAACCTAAGACACTGACTATTATCCTAGTTTGCAAATGAAGAAACTAGGTATAGGGTAAGTAAGTACGTTGCCCAAGGTCACACAAACTATAGAACCAGCATTCAGAAACCATGCTGTTCAACCTTATTCTAAACTCTCTCCCATGGGAGAAAATGACCCAGTGTGCGCCATTCTATTGTATAACATAGCTTCTCTGAACATGTTGGTGGGGAAAAATAGGAATCAGCTATGCTCATTCACTAACTAATTTTTCAACAAACATTTATTAGCGCCTCAAAACTCTCATTTGACCTTAAATCCTTTTAAGTGTTTCTGAATATTTGTTGGAAGAGACAAACTTTGAATAAATGCTGGACCCATTCCATCTCTATTTCTCGTTAATGAAAAATGCCAACTATTTGGCATTATAATACTGAGTTTTAAGTTGATCATCAGAAATTCTTTCTCTTAACAGTCTCATGGAAGATGACCTTTATAAGATTTCTACAGTTCTCTATTCATCACCCTGTGTGGTGTAGTTTGACTTTTTACTAAAAACTGTGAGCAAGACAAGAAGTAAGGTTGTGGCACAGAGACAGCTGGCTCCCCAAAAGGTTTCCTCCTTGCTCACGGAACCCCAACTTCATCCTCCAGGGAAAGCTCTGTCCCTTCCTCATGAGGGGTGAGTCTCATGTAGGTGAAAGCAGGAGTGGTGGCAGAGTTAGGGCTGGGCACGGGATGCTCTTCTAAGCACTGAGACATGAAGAGGCATCTGCTATGGGGCTCTGGGGAAGTCCCAAGGTAGGGACTTTCACTTCTTTTGCTTTTTGACCTCACAGGGTGGTGAGATAATAGTTGGAACTATGAGAAGCACAAGAAGAAAAGAAACCCACTAAGGATATGAGAGTGGAAAGACAGGGGAGCCTGAGTATTTGATGGCATTGTCAAGCCCTGAATTAACCAGCCTGGACCCATTCCATCTCCATATGCTTGGTTATGTGAAATAATAAACTCTGATTGTTGAACTCATGTTTGTTGGATTGTCTATCACACTAACAGGCAAGGCATCCTAACTGATACAAATGCTTATTAAAATTGCATTTGAAAAGCAAATGAGGGAGGACGATCTAGAATAACAGTCTGACGAAAAACAAAACAAAACACAAAGTATGTCTTCAGTTTAAAAAAAAGTTACATAGGGGACTTCCGGTCAAGATGACGGGTAGGTAAACACGGTATGGTGTCCTCCCACAACCACATCAAAGTTACAACTAAACTACAGAACAACCATCATTCAAAACCGCCTGAAATCAAGCTGAATGGAAGTCCTACAACTACGGAATTAAAGCAGCAGCCGCATCCAGACTGGTAGGAGGGGCGGAGGTGCGAGGGGCAGCTGCAGCTGCTGCAGCGCAACGGGCTGGTCCCACACCCAAGTGTGGCGGATAAAAATCAGGAGGATACTTCAGCTGGGAAGGTCCTTCCTGAGGACTGAGGGGTCCCCGTCCCACACCAGTTGCCCTGCTCAGGGTTCCAGTGCCAGGAAAGAAGTCCCCATAACTTCTGGCTGGAAAAACCAGCGGGAACAGAGGCTCAGGGAGGCTGAGGCGGCTGGAGCCCCAGGCAGCTCCTTAAAGGGCCCACGCACAGACTTATCGGACTCTCTCCCTCTAAGCTTGGAGGGGAGGTAGCTCGAGGGGCACCAGAGACATACAGGGAAGAACTGAGCTGCTTGGCACTGGAGCGAGGGCTGGAGAGGGGGCTTTCTCCGGGACAAACGTGCTGTCAGAGGCCTTTGTTCCTTTGGTGAGCCCTTCCCTGGGGTGGCGGACAGCCGCTATACCTGGGACTCCAGCAACCTGGCTCATACTGGTAGCATCGCCCTGGTGACTCCCTGAGGCCCCGCCCCAACCCACCCAACTTTCAGGCCCACCCACGCTGTTGCCACTTGCTTAACCATAGAATTGGCCTGTCTTGGATCCTGCTTCAGGTTTTTCCTAAATTCTTTCAAACGAGCAGCATCTGGTCTCAGCTAGCCCCATACCGCTCATTAAGTAATACACAAAAACAAACACAGGGAGGCAGCCAAAATGAGGAGACAAAGAAACAGGTCCCAAATGAAAGAACCGAACAAAACCCCAAGAAAAGAACTAAGCGAAATGGAGATAAGCAACCTAACAGATGCTGAGTTCAAAATACTGCTTATAAGGATGCTCAATGAACTTAGTGAGAAACTCAGTGAACTTAGTGAGTGCCTCCAGAACATAAAAAAGACCAGTCAGAAATGATGGATGCACAGTCAGAAATGAAGGAGGCATTAACTGAAATAAAGAATAATTTACACAGCTTCAATAGTAGAGTACATAAATCCAAGAAGCAAACCATCGATTTGGAATATAAGGAAGCAAAAAATGCCCAATCAGAACAGCAAAAAGAAAAAAGAATCCAAAAAAATGAGGATAGTGTAAGGAGCCTCTGGGACAACTTCAAGCGTGCCAACATTCGCATCTTGGAGGTGCCAGAAGAAGAGCGAGAACAAGAAATCGAAAACCTATTTGAAACAATAATGACAGAAAACTTCCCTAACTTGGTGAAGGAAACAGACATACAAGTCCAGGAAGCACAGAGAGTCCCTAACAAGATGAACCCCAAGAGGCCCACACTAAGACACATCATCATCAAAATGCAAAAGGTTCAAGACAAAGAGAGAATCTTAAAAGCAGCAAGAGAAAGGCAGTTAGTTACCTACAAGAGAGTTCCCATAAGACTGTCAGCTGATTTCTCAAAAGAAACTTTGCAGGCCAGAAGGCAGTGGCAAGAAATATTCAGAGTGATGAAAAGCAAGAACCTATAACCAAGATTACTCAATTGTGTAAAACTATCATTTAGAATCAATGGCCATATGAAGAGTTTCCCAGACAAGAATAAGCTAAAGGAGTTCATCACCACCAAACCGTTATTATGTGAAACGATGAAGGGTCTTTTTGAAGAAAAAGATAAAATATATGAACAAACAATATGGCAATGAATACATATCTATCAACAATGGAATCTACAAACAGAATGAACAGGTAGAACAGAAACATTCTCATAGATACAGAGAACATTTTGTTGGTTGCCAGTTGGGAGGGGGGTTGGGGGAATGGGTGAAAAAGGTGAAGGATTAAGAAGTACAAATTCGCCCTGGCCGGTTTGGCTCAGCGGTTAGAGCGATGGCCTGTGGTCCAGAGAGACCCGGGTTCAGTTCCCGCTAAGGGCACGTACCTCGGTTGCAGTTTGTCCCTGGCCCTGGTTGGTCGTGCGGGTGGCAGCCGCTCGATGTGTTCCTTTCACGTCGATGTTTCTCTCTCTCTCTCTCTGTCCCTCTCTCCCCTTCCCACTCTACCTGAACAAAAAATGGAAAAATATCCTCGGGTGAGGATAAAAAAAAAGTATTGCTAGACTGACAAACCTCAAAGGGAAAGGGGTTGGGGGGGGTGGGAAGAAATAAACCAAAGAACTTATATGCATAACCAATGGACACAGACAATAGTGTGGGAAAAGGCGGGAGGGGGGCGGCAGTGGAGAGGAGGGGGTCAATGGGGGGAAAATGAGAAATATCTGTAATACATTCTACATTCAACAATAAAGATTAAAATAAATAAATAAATAAATAAATAAGTTACATAATTATAAAATGGTGTAAACCTAGTTAAACACCAGTTCAAATAACAAAGATGGAGGTACTTTACTAATGGATTCAAGGTAATCCAACACTATGACATGGCTAAAGAAAATGTTCAGCTAGGTTAGGTAATACTATTAGAACTAGAGGCTCAAGATTATGGTGGCAAAGTCTTATAAAGCCCGGCACTGATCAACACATTTCTGGAAGAAATTAGGTATAGAATATTAAAGGCAACGTTAAAGTTAGGTAAATTATCACGTTTCATGGAGATGAAGTAAAGACTGAGAGACCATCATGAGGAACAGTATTTTCCAGAAGCTCGTACATAGAAGGTGGGGAGAAAGTAGGTTTACAGTTGTGAGTACATGAAAATAACAAGTAGGAGTATTATTATTTATTAATTATTGTTTTATTCTCCATATGAATAACTGTAACCCTACTTTTGCCCCATCCTGTAGTACACACCGCACTGGCAGTATGAGATGATTTTAACTGGTACATACACTTTATTATAACATGCATTAAAAATTAATAAATGTACATACTAAGTTAGCCATCAATCCCATGGTTTCATGAATATAACTTTTAGGATGAGTGAAATAACAGTATAAAACTCATTTAAAGAAAAACATTAAATCAGTACATCCTATTTAACATGACTAGATATTTTATGATCTGTTAATTATAGCCCTAGACTTTTACAGTTGTTCAGATGGAGAATAACACATAAAGACAGTGATGGGCATCTCTGGAGCCACAATATGCTTACTACTGGTGGTGATTTTACTGACTAATGAGAAGCCTGACTTTTTCTTCTTTCCCAACTCCTTAGGCCAAATGGTACTTTATGTCTGAATAATCAAATAATAAGTGACATCTAACATGTACAACAAATACTAAAGCTTAAACTTCTTGTCCCCTGGAAACATTTTCCCATGTTTGCATCCCCAAATGCATTTCATCCAAAGAAAAACCATAAACCTAGAAAGATTCCCTTCCTACCTCCTGAGTGTGTTCCTTGTAGACTTGCAGTGGCCCTGTGGCTTTGGCAGTGTCCCAGAGCTGCAGCGAACCATCCCCACTACAAGTGACCAGGACATGTTCATTGTTCTCACTCCAGGTCACGTCAAACAAACCATCGCTCCAGTCAAAGCTATACCAGGAAAAATTAAAACAAAAAAAATCTAGGTACATAAAAAATGAACATAAAATAACACAAATAACTTCAGTTTTTTTTAAGTTTATCACATTTTAACATATATTATCTTCCCTGATCTTCACAACTATGAGAAAAAAGTAGAACAGGTGCTTGTTTTTTTTTGTTTTTTTTTATCCTCACCCGAGGATATTTTTCCATTTTTTGTACAGATAGAGTGGGAGGGAGAGAGAGAGGAAGGGAGAGAGAGAGAGAGAGAAACATCGACGTGAAGGGACACATCGAGGGGCTGCCACCCGCACAACCAACCAGGGCTGGGGACAAACTGCAACCGAAGTATGTGCCCTTAGCAGGAACCGAACCCAGGTCTCTCCGGACCGCAGGCCGACGCTCTAACCGCTGAGCAAAACTGGCCAGGGCGAACAGGTGCTTGTTATATGCAGAAACAAGTTCAGGGACATTGAAAGAACTATAAAATTGCAAAGCTGGATTAAAATTAGGTCTCCCCACTAGCAATACAACACTATATATATGAGGACATGCTGCCACACATAGGTGCTCACTGTTTTTTGTGGTTCAGACGCAGGACCAACAAGCACTTTAAAATACTAATTCAGAGCAATAATCTCAACTTTTCCCACAAATCTTTTACCCGAGCTATGATCAGGTAGTTATTTTCTGACAGCATTTTCTTTCCTTTCTCTACCTTTGACTGCTCTGATGGAACTGTTGAGTTCAACAGTCATACAGACAGGACATAGGAAAGGAAATAGGCAACAGATAATCCACACAATGGATAATCAGCTCCTGAATGAGTGAAACTGAACTACATTAAGACAGCAAAGACAGAAGCGTCACACAGCAGTATACTAACTAGTTCATATTTTTTCCATTTAAGTTTTCTAATTTCTAAATGGACACTAAGAGACAAGAGCTTTAGAAAAAAAAATAACAATCAAACTTAATGACAAAAGTCCTATACTATGCAAATACTGAACTTTCTTTTATTTTACAAATTTAAAAATTAAAATAACTTTATGAATAAAATAGATTCTAATTTTGTTAAGGTTTTAATAGCAAAAGAGAATACATGTAAGTTTATAATTAGAGAACCACCTTACCTTCTAAAAATGTTAAGCCCAGATTCATTTTGATCCAATATTAGCAAGGTTCCACAGCCTAAGAAGAAAAAAAATCAAGGTCATGCTATTGAACCTTCCAAGGGACCATCTGAGGTCAAGGAGGGATCAAGCACTGAGTACCTAACTTCACCACCATGAATTTCTCCCTAAAGTTATCGAGACCATGTATACAAAACAATCAGATAGTGTTCTCCATTTCTGTCTTTCTATATTGTGCTTCAGTCATTAAATAATAAACTTATCATCTCACCTATGCTTGGAATCCATACAGCCCTAACAGAGGAGATTATTTCAGTTCATATTCTGTGGCCAGGCAGGTGCCAGGCACTCTAACCTCCCAGATAGGTGTTATCATCCCTATTTACAGGTCTGGCTTACAAGACACCTAGGACTCTGATCCTACTACATCACACTGCCTCTCCAGTAAATCTAAAATACATTCAACGTGAGATTTTAAAACAAAATACCTGGTGGAATTTACCACATACTTGGTGGTAAAGTGCTGAACGCAATATATCAATTATCTACCAAAGATGACTTAGTTTACTAAGGGACCAACATATTTTAAAAGTTATGCTTGTGCCCCGCTGCTGTGGCTCAGTGGATTGAGCGTCCTCCCATGGATGAGAGGTCCTAGTTCCATTCATGGTGGGGGTTGCCCTTGGATCCTCAGTGAAGGGCATGCAGGAAGCAGCCCATGGATGTGTCTCTCTCAGTGTCTCATCCACGTTTCTCTCTCTCCTTCTTCCTTCCTCTCCCTCTAAAAATCAATTTAAAAATATTTTTTAAAAGCAATAAAAAAGTTATATTTGTTATAGTAACTGGGGAGGGGGCTCTTTTATTTAAACATGACTGATGTTTTGTAAATACCAACTCCTTTAAAGTTTTTGTAAAGGTTTTAATTCAAAGTATCACAAACTCTTGGGTCTTCAATCTAACTGGTGGGCAACTATTGTAAATCTAAATGTGCAAGCACTAAGAGCTAATGGTGAAAATATAAGAAAGTGAGTATTTCCTCCCTCTGAATTTTAGAACTCACATTATTTTTTCAGCTGTAGGACCAAACAAAAACAACTATCGGAAACTGACATTATGCAGTGACTTGTTTCATAGATCTTCAGTGTGTAGATAATAGATAGAACATGAATTAAAGGAAAAAAATATATAAGACTGGCACCCTGAATTTCAATCTAGTCCATGGCAGATAATTAACTTAAACTCCGAATAAGTGCTTGCAAATACAGGTATGCATTTTTCCTGAGACAACAAACGGTGAGGGCAGAACTTGATAAATTTCATCATGGCAACTGCGCGGAAATTGCAAACGCCGGCTCAGGGGCACTGGATTTACCACTGACAGCCGAATGCTGACTGCGGCAACGTGGACGAATGAACAGGTACGGGGCTGACCCTGCGGACAGTCTCCCAGGTGCTGTGGACCGATGCGACCGGTTTGGGAGCCACACAGGCTAAACACGCTCTCTCCGGGGCGGCGTGTGCCTGGGGGCGGGGGAGGATCAAACGGCGGATAAACCGGTGCGCTCGGAAGGAATAAGGACTCGGCCACTAGGCACCTTCCATATGCTACTTCCGCGCCGTAACTGGGGTAAAACAGACACTGTCTCCAGACCGACTCCCCACACCGGACAAAGGAAGAAGCGGGAGCGGACCGGCTCCTCTGCTCCTCCTGGCGTTCAGCTGAGGCGCTGTCTGCTGTCGGAGGTGCTTTCCGACGATCGGGAGAAGCCGGACTAAGGCCCCCGCCCCCGCCCTGGCGGCGTGCCCTGCCTCACCCGCGATTCCATAGTGCTGCGCGGCGGCGCAGGCCAGGCGGCCGGGTAGGTACGGGGAGAACTCGGCGGCGTAGCCGTGGCGGCCCGGCACCCGCAGCGACCGCACCGACCCGCCGTGCGCCCCGTTCATCCCGCCCGCCGCCTCCAGACCTCGTGGCCCGGGCTTCCGGCCGCCGAAGCAGATCGAAGTCGGAGGCCGACTCGCCCAGAGAAGTTAGAGACCTAGAGGCGGAAGTAAGGACACCCGGTGCCCGGAATGCTTGGTTTCTATTGGTCCGCAAATGAAAGGGCAGTGACTCCAACGGAATTCATTTTTGTTTTGGGCAAAACAAACTAATTCGCGGCATATGTAAATGAACCACGTAAAACAGGCCGTGTGGATTTGCTGGTGACCCTGACAACTTTTGTTTTTGCATATCTACCTCCACAGCGGTGCTATCCGGTTTTAATTCCTTCGTCGAGATTTTTGAAAGACTGGCATCAGGAAATGTCCCTAATGTTTACAAAACGAGACAAGCTACAGCAACTCTAAAATCATGCAGCTAGTCCAAAGGCAATTGAGTGCTGTGTTGCCCAAGATAACTTGAAACAATATTAAATCAGGCGGGAGTAAAATTAAGGAAAAAAGAGATAATAAGCAACTAGCTTTTTAAAAGATTCTCACTGTATATATCGTATAGTGATAAGTGCTCATATGCAGGGCTAATAAAGGAAAACTAAGGTTTATTTATTTGTTAATTCAAACATTCATTAAGCATGTACTATGTGGAGGGTGACCATATATAATTTATCTGCCAAACAAGACACTTTGAGAGTGAAAGGGGGTGCAGATAATAAATAAGCCAGGCGAACAGGCAGGCACACACCTAGTTTTATGGTCGGTTTCACTATATAACCAAGTACAGTGCTAGGCACTTGGGATTCAAAAACAATAACATACATTCAGTGTCCTCAAGAGATAAATCTAGTAGACATGTCATTTGTTAAGTGTAATCAAAATAATATAGGTGCTATGAGAAATTATATAATATAAAGTGTAGAGAAATACATATGGGGTATTTTTTTTTTTTTAAGGAAATTGTCAGTGCTGGAGGAGGAGGGAGGGGAGGGAAATCGTCAGAAAGGAGGTAATGTTTGTGGTGAGTAAATGATGATAATGTTTTATTTAAATAGATAAGGAGATGGAGGTCACTGCAGGAGCAGGAATAACATGAACAACGCAAGAATCTTAAAACAGCTGATTATGGCTGTCAGGACTCAGCCTAACCAGATGGAAGGGGGATAGTGAAGAGTACTGGGTGGAGGGATTAGAATGTTGTATTGGGACTGGATCAGGAAGAGTCTGTATGCTGTACCAAGGGAATTGGATTTCTACTGTAATTTAAACAATATGGAACCATTGGAGTTTTCTAAGAAATTAAATTACCAAGTCTTCATTTTAAGAGATTTGAGCAACCCTAATCTGGAGGACAGAGATTAGAAATGAAAGGCAGATTAAAAAACTTTATCACTAGTTCAAGCAAAAGATAAGATTTAAACAAAGATTATGGTAATGTGAATAGAAAGTAAGAGTCAAATGAGATTTTAAGGCAATAACTCATAATATATGACATGTAAGGAATAGGGAGGAGTCAAAATGACCCAGATTTTTTACTTCTGTGCTTGGATAGATATAGGAACTGTTCACTAAAATCAGGACTGTGGGAGGGGGAACAGGTTTGGGAAGAAAATGAGCTCCAGTATTAACATGTTGAATGTGAATTTCATATTGGACATACCAGTCAGAAGCTAAGAGAGTTCTTATTTGCCTGTAAAAAATATGTAAACTGCCCTGGCCAGTTTGGCTCAGCGGTTGGAGCATCAGCCTGCAGACCAAGGAGTCACATGTTCAATTCTGATCAAGGGTGTGGACCTCAGTTGGGGGTTGGTCCCAGGGCCTGGTCAGGTTGTGCCAGAGGCAGCCAATTGATGTGTCTCTCTCACATTGATGTTTCTGTCTCTCTCTCCCTCCCTTCCCCCTCCCACTCTATCTGAAGATAAATGGAAAAGTGTCCTCGTTGAGGATGGAGATTATATATATATATATATATATATATATATATATATATATGAAAGAATTGCCCTCACTCAGGAAGAGAGTGGTATGAAAAGAGAAAAGAGCCAAAGACAGAACCTTGGGGGAAACACCAGATCTAAGACTTGGCAGAGGAAGAGGAGGTAGGGAAGGGTTGTGGGGAGACACACAAGGTGGATACTTTTAATTAATTAACTAATATGTTAATCAGCTCAAGTTGGGATAATTTGCATACTACCCTTTGAGACATATTTAGATGGGCAGATTGAGAGTGGGTCCTACTCAACAGAGTTCTCAAGAGTATAAAAGAAAATAAGATAAAACATCGATTACAGTGCCTGGCACATAGTGGGCATGCAAAAATATGACAACAATTCAGTAAATAGAACATTTCTTTGTTTTCTTGAACCAACTTAAATCTCCATCCCCCTAAGCTGTTAAAAAATTCAAGCTCATCATGTTTGGGGTTTCCTGTTATTCCCTAAGGTCACACCAGAATCTGACACTAGAATGCAAAGTTTACAACAGTAGAACATCAGCGCAAACAGTGAAGAGTCTCTCATCTTCTGTTAGAGTCACCACACATAGCTCCCCATGCAAATCTGAATTATCAGATGAACACATATTTCCATGCCTTGCTTGAAGCCAAGCAGGGCCCAGGTCTCTTTACTGAGGTGGGTTCCCACTTACCTGGGGGACCCATGAAACCATTTCCACTAGGGAGCAGAGCCAGGTTGCTGGCACTACTCCAGGCTGGAGAATCTTTTCCTCTTTCCCTCTAGTCCTCCACTGCTGTCACATGATCAGCTCTTGCCTCCCCTTTCTTAACAACACATCAAAACCGTTCGGTGAGTTCAAAGATTGAGAGCAGCTTCGATGCCAGTCCTTCAAGTACCCTGAGACCAAGGATCACAGAGCAGCTGGCTATCTAATCAGAATAGGGAAAGACAAACACTACAGCCTGGCCGGTTTGGCTCAGCAGTTAGAGCATCAGCCTGCGGTCTGGAGAGACCCGGGTTCAGTTCCCGCTAAGGGAACGTACCTTGGTTGCAGTTTGTCCCGGCGCCTGGTTGGGTTGTGCGGGAGGCAACCACTCAAATGTGTCCCTTTCACATCGATGTTTCTCTTTCTCTCTCTCTTACTCTCTCTCCTTCCCACTCTATCTGAACAAAAAAATGGAAAAAATGTCCTCGGGTGAGGATAAAAAAAGGAAAAGAAAAACACTACAGCAAAACACATCAATACCGAATCAGTTGTCCTGGCATACTGTTAATGAAGAAAACTAATAAGACATCAATTAATTATTAATTAATAACAATTGACAGTATAAACATAAATGTGTAGAAGTAAACAGAATGCTACATATGCCTCATCTCACCGCTAACCCACACAAGCCCCAAATTCTTAGCCAACCCCCTTCCCCATGAACCTGAGATGGGACATGGGTGCCTCATCACATGGGCAGTATTCCTCGTATTTCAGATCCCTGCCTCCGAATCTCACTGGCTAATTTTTATAATGCAGATTCTTAGGACACACCATGGACATATTCATTCAAAATCCCAGGGCCTGGAAATCTGCGTTTTTAACAAGCTCTTCTGGGTGATTCTCATTTGTTGGCTGAAACATAGAGAAGAAAAACACATCTGAGAAGTGCTCAGCACTGGCAAGGACTTGGACAATGGAAGCAAACCCTGGTAGCAAAAGGGAAAATACACTCCAGGCAAAGCAAGCTGGAGTTATAAGATATTCAGGGAGGGATATCATTCATAAAATATTGACATAGTCTGTGAAGATCTAAGAATTACACGGTTTTTTCCTCCTGAACCTAGAGGATACCACCAGAACTGAGTTACTCCCATAGTTCCAGTAAAGGATCTGGAACCAGGCTCATGTTTAATTCTTACCGTGGACTTTATAGATTATATCTGAGAATTGGATTGCAGTTATATACTTCCTTTGTATTAAAACATAAATATGCAAAATGTCAGGTTTACTTTAACCATCTCAGGAGTTTCTATATGAGGGGAACACTTGGCATGTTTGTTTGTTTTCATGCCCTTTGCACTTGGGTAAACCTGAGATCCCAATGCAGTCAATGTCGTTTCCTTCACATCCCCCAAGTGTTTTCAAAGGTGGCATAAGATGGCTTGTGAGCTCCTGAATCAGTGTCAACATGAAGGCTGCAGTGACTTTGTTTTTCGGACAGGACAACATAAATTCCAATTTAAACTGCATTATCCTCACTGAATAAACAGAGTGGGAGCCCTAATGTTCTGTAAACACAGAGAGAGACCAAAGAGCCAACAGCTAGCTGACCATCCATGACTGTCTACACCTGCAAATGAAAAGGAAACATACACCAGTCCCCAAACTTTCCTTCTGGGAGTAGCCACTACATAGCAAAAGGCTTGGGGAGGAAGCAACAAGTGTGACCATTTTATTTAGCGTTTTAAGCAGAGTGAAACTTTCAACATTAGTTTGGAATTAAATACATTCTCATAAGCTTAGGAAATGTTTTTTTGTTGTTGTTCAGATAGAGTGGGAGGGAAATAGAGAGAGAGAAACATTGACGTGAAAGGGACACATCGAGTGGTTGCCACCTGCACGACCCAACCAGGGCTGGGGACAAACTGCAACTGAGGTACGTGCCCTTAGCGGGAACTGAACCTGGGTCTCTCTGGACCGCAGGCCAACGCTCTAACCACTGAGCCAAACCGTCCAGGACTTAGGAAATGTTTTAATTGCATTTAACACATAATGGCAGAACCTGGCATGCCTTACTATGCCAGAAAGTAAGGAAGGACACACAAAAAATTATACAGACTGTGGAAAGGACACAGACACCTGCTGGAGGGGGCCTCTTTCTGGACATATCTGGATCAAGTAAAATATTGATAAGTATAGATTATAACCTACTGAATTAAATAAGAATCTAAGACACCATACTGATAGGAGAGAAGGCGAAGTTTTTTCCATGCAGTAGAATTTCTGTTAATAAAGGTAGAAGAAGTGATGAAGTTATAAGATAATCATTTGGCAATCACCATAGTAATAATTGTTTTAGGCAAGAATCATCAATGGATGTTAAAAGTAGTGG